CCCATATCTGTGAGATTGTATCTACAAAAAGCAGAAGTGCAGGTACTCGTTTGCTTTTAATATTTATCCTGCACTCTGCTTCCTGTCTGCCCTTCCAGCTCCTGGGAGATTAAACCTCCCTGCAGCTGCCAGCCCAATCCGATCGGTCTCCTGGTTCAGAAACCTGAGACAGACACAGGCCGTCCACCCAACTGATGTGCGGGCTTTAAATACCTCCCATACTTGGCTGACATCTTTTTGCTTTTTTGAGTAGCAGATATTTGCGTTCTGTGAAGACATTTACAGCCCTAATGGGAAAAGAGTGAGTTGTGGACCTCACATGAACTCCGCATTCCTCCCTTTGGGTGGGTACAGAATTATAAGAATTTATACCAGGCAGAGATCTGCCCTCCATGACTTCCAAGGCATCTCAGCTCCTCTGAGACTCAGACTAACTGTGGACTGACCTAGGTGTGTTCAGTAGGAGACTCATAAAACACTACAGGCACTCAGAGTCAAAATGGATTAACTGTGAAATCATACTTCCAGTAAGCCTTTATTTCCTTATATAATCCTATCTACGATTCTTTCCATCACGGCTCCCATTACCACACATCAACATTGACCTCCTTTGCTCTTGATGCATTTGCCTGTAACTGGATGAATGCCAGCGCCTGCAGAATTTTCCTGCTGCTTACCTTGTACGCAAGGTGCCTATAGAGAAACAGAGCCTGACAGCAGAGCAGCCTGCAGTGAAGACCACAGGGGCAATTCAGCAGAATATCAGGCCAAGGAAGTTCCCACTTCACAGCACATCCAGTGTATCCACACTTTGCCACACGGGCTAATTACAATGTGGATACGAACACACTTCCAGCTCAGGGAGCAACTGGAATGGAGGGTTACACACTCCACCTCACTTTGTATAGGCTGGAGATATATTCCTGGGCTCCTAGTACATCCTGATCTGTATTACATACTTCAGCTCCCTACAGCAACCAAAAAAAAAGATTAATCAGGGTATGCGTGCCTGCTTGCACTGCTCTCTCAGATAGCAGCCAAAACCTAGATTTCTGGAGATGAACTGCACCTCAGCTAACTCAGTTGTTTTGAAAGTGGGAAGAGGACATAGGCAGGTACTTATATTTAGCAAACTCAACACTTACACAGTTTATACAGATTATTCAGGTGTCACTAAAAAACATTTTGGTAAGGACAGCATTTGTACAACTTACCACAACCAAAGTGTTAAGGTTTTACAAAGAGACAGCAGAGACAGCAATATTGCAAATTAACTATGAAACTATTCTGTATATTTGGATGAGATGAATGGTCACATAAACTTACTTTAACAATGTAATAAATAGGCACTTTTTCCCCATGAGGCATGAAGAAAAGTACTTTTCATAGAGAACTAAACAAAAATGAAGCAGCAAGAAGACACAAGGGACTTTTTTTCCAGGTAGTCTTGTAGCACTACAGCCAGTTCTATTCAGCCATGAGTTAGATTTAAACACAGGGTGCTGAGAAGTGGTACGTTGTGCCATAACACCTCCCCAACACAGCCCTCCCTGGATTGTGACTGACAGTGTTAATTATGGATGTGTAAAGCATCACTGAAAATACTATTCGCCTACAAGAACACTCTGGCCAGTGATTAAATATATCATGTGCTGGGACAGGACAATGTTTTCAGAGAAATAAGAATCATAACCAAGATACTATTTGAATGGTCTAATGAAAAGGAGGGCCAAGAACATGACTGTGAAGGTTTCAGAGTGGCACCTGCATTATTTTGGTTACCATTGAAGTTCACAAGTTGCTGAAAGCGTCACTGAGATTGTGAAGACCATGATCACTTGCAGAAGTAACAATTTGTATGCTTGGACCACTACGTTGACAAAGGCAGTTATCATACATAGCAGCTGTGATGGTCCTGCTAGTATTTACACTATAGCACCATAAATATATATCTTTTAAATCCTTTTCCAAAATGTGTTTAGACCCCTTTCAGAATAACAATACGTGCTTAGCCCTCTTGCTTTCACTGGTCTGAAACACAGGTCAAAAGCACCATGAGGAACATGGAGGTATTTTTACGTAAAGGCATAAAGTTTAAAAAAAAACACATACTTGCAATTCAAACGAAAAGATGTGCATGCAGCCTTAATTTAGCCTCCTGTTTGTATATATATCAGAATAGACAATGCTAGCCTTTCTTTTTCTTCTTTAATGTATATCTGATTTTCTGCTGGATACACTCTCGCTCTCTCTCTCTCTTTGATTTAATCGGGACTACTTACATGCTTGCAAATATGCACAAATTTTGCAAAGCTGGACTAAGACTGGACTGGAAGCTTCCTCCTTGATTTCAAAAGACTGCTCATAACACTAGAAGAGAAGAGGACTTTTAGAGCTAGATCCTTTAAGGGTATTTAAATGACCAAGCAAGAAAAATAGACGTTTTTCAAAAGAATGTAAGAATCCAACCTAGCCCAGATCCAATGCCCATAGTCTAGAAAGAAATAAGTACTTATTTGCACCTTTAGGCATCTAAGAACCTTTAAAAAATCTGATCTTTAATGTTTCTTTATAGTCTGGACTCTGTATTAGCCATATTTATGAAATAAATACAGTAATTACAATGAAAATATGCAAAGGAAAAAGTGAAGCGCATTTGAATTCAAAAATACATAAAGGCACTTGGGAGGATCAAATGAGAACTGACACAGCCTAAAAAAGTATCAAGCAACATTTAAGCAATATTATTTTAGGACATCAAAGTTTATCTTTATATGCTTAAGGTGTGGCTGGAAAATATGCTACTACTCACATTACAGTTTGGATGTGCTGCTGCATTTTGCATGGTAAAGCACTGCTGCATTTTACATGGTAGAGTATTATTGCAAGAATGTGTCTTTAATAGATTTTATTCTTTTCTCATTAATCATTCACAGCTGAGAAATCAAATGTTTGCAGCAGTCTGTTGAAGCACACTGGAAGTAAAAATAAGAAGGGTTTTAAAAAACCTAGTATGCTTTTCCCCACATATCTTGCTTCTCTACTCTGTTTTACTAAATTCACCAAGGACTACAATGGAGGCAGATTTACATTTGCTTTTCAATCATTACTTTAATCATTATTTTAATCAATTCCACTTATTAGGATCTCCTTAAGGGAAATAGTTCTATTTCCAAGACAAACCTAAGGCTAGTATTGACTCAGAAGGGGCAACTAATTAGTAGGCATCTCCTTGTGAGACACACAATAATTAAGTTTCATGTAAAGAAAATTCACAGTCATCCTGTTCTTTCAGCTGCTTGAATTGCTGAATGCACTTTTATTAACTGAATTGCTAAATTAAATGCCTGTGAACAGGCAAGCCTATGATACTTATGCTGGACATCTAGGCAATATTATGCCAAATGCGCACTTAAAAGTTCAGGAAACACAGCAACTCTGAGATTTTTATGTTTAAATCTTTCAGTCTCTAATGCCCACTTAGACCCTAAGCATTGTAAATGTTATTTACATAATTATTTTCAAGGAATGAGACAAACCTTTAACTACTAATCCTTTGCTACTCTGCAAATACATGCATACAAGATCAGGAGACTGACCCGAATCCTTTTTAAATGGATTAATTTTATTTCAGTTGCATTCTGTCATTGTTCCCTAAGGATCCAGAGGTAAAAGCTTAATAAACTGATTTCCTGCCATAGTGGCAGTATTGCTGGAATTAATAAAGGTGCCTGAAAATCAATGCATTTTGCAGACCCTGGTTGCCGTCTGAGGTGCTAATGAATTAATGACTCACCAGAGTGCTTTCCATAGGTTTTACAATAAAATCCAGGTAGAAAAGCCCTTCCCTTTTCCACTCCAGGTTAGAAGGAGACACTTTTGTAACTACCAGCTTCCCATAAGAGAAATATGTTTCTTAAGCAGACAAGTAAGAAGATGACTTTGATGAAAGGTCTTCATTATTTCAGGAATTCAGGCTTCAGCTGTAGTTTTGCCAGAAGTAAAACTCAGCCTCCAGCAGGAAGCACATTCCAAAACAGTATCAGTACTACAGTCAATAGAGGAATTGCCTCTTTCAGGATCTTACACATGTATCAAATAATTTATGAAGCTTTTGGCATGTGAAACTGCTTCCCCCCCGCAAAAAAATAGAAATGAAGTGTTTATCTACACTTTGAGGCAAGTCTGCCAGGCCCCTGATTGCACTTCCTGATTCAGAAATGTAATATTGAACTTAAACCCTGATTTGGTAACTGAGTGAAAGCCTTGTTAGGATAAGGCCATTAACAGACTATTGGGTCAATTTATAAATGTTGAAGCTCTTGAAACAGAGTCAGTTAACAGCTGTATAACAAGGCCATTTTCCTGCATTCATAGAACTAACACATTTTAGAGTCCAACAGAAAAATACAGTTTGCAACCCGGTTGTTGCTGGAAGACCTGTGTGGTATTTTCTTCTTTTTTTCCAAATTGTATTTTAACTCAGCGATAAACACTTATGACAGTGATATCTGTGCGTACTAGTTAGGTTAAAATTTGTCTCCAAACTTTGCCTTTTAATTTGCCTCAGAGCTTACACGTGGCAATAAGGGCAAAGCAAATGAGGGAACAGTTGTCTTAGCTCCCACCTCAGTGCTGCATATCACAAGTTATTAAGATAGCTCTACAAAATTGTCTTGGAATTGTCCTTGCTAAACTATTTTAATGTTAAGCTCAACTCTTTTTCTCCCAGCACTTATTAGGAGGTCCTCAATAGGTTACATCTTGTTTATCAGACATGATCTGATATTAAGAGGAACAGAAACTGGGAAACGCTTCAGCTGAAAAATAAGAAAATAGAGTAGAACATAAGGCTGCTGTCAAAGGAAATTGAGAGCTATGCACTGCCAGGCCATTTCCCTCCCTTTTTGCCTTCCTAAGCTCTATTTTCCCTAATTTTAAGCATTTGGATTCTGATGCAGCTGTCTGTGCTTATCCATTGACCTGTTCATATGAATGACATGGGGAATGTTGGTTTACTGTACAGCATGGTGTTTCTCAAAATGAAACCTAGCAGGTAAGTTTGCCCATCTTTGTTTTTATGGTGTCCTCTATTTAGCTATTTTTCCTCCTTTTGTTGTAACAGGATATCTACATGTCTCCAGCAATTAGTTCCACTATGTGCAGCTTTTTTTTCAGATGAGTTTCTAGATGTGAAAAATCTTTTCTTTAATCTTCATTTTATTGAAAGGGAACTTAAACGCAAACATCTGGATATTTCCAAGTATAATTTGGTATTTTCTTTCTGTCCCTATCTGAAGACTCCAAAATCTTTTAACTGTGATTTTATGGTTTGCTACTTTGCCTGTAGTAAAGAAGAGAAGAAGGAAGAAGAATTTAGAAATGTACAAGCCCAGCTGAGCAGATACATCTTAAAGATGTTCTTATACTTGCATTATCCCCCTCATTTTAATTGTGCTATTTTATGGCAGCCAGTCTGGGCCAGGGCCCCATTGCTCTAAGTGCTGTCTTGGTCTGTACCGGTGCCACAGGTTCGGCAAAAGTAGAGAGCCTCTACTCTTGAGCCGCTGTGTCTTAAATTACAAGATGTAATTTATCTTTTCAGACAATCCTGAATTGAAGGCAGTCACTGGAGAGAAGTCTTTATTCTCTGTAACTCACCCAGGCAAAGCTTGCACTGAACGGAGTGCAATAGTAGACACAGTTACACATGAAGTTTCTGCAAAAGAACTCTGCATATTTTAGTCTTGATTCTGTGACTCCTGTTTATCTCAGTAGCTCACGGTGGCAGCATGGCCACCAGCACTTGGGTTGGCTTCAGCCGCCAGGAGATTCGTGGAACACTGTGCTTGGCTTTGGGGACATTATTTATTTATTTATTTATTTTCTGGTGAATTGCAATACAATGCATGTTCTTTCCTGGGAGAATTTTTTATCTGTCCTTTCCCAACATACGTCAGGAGCAGAAATCAGTCATTAAAGGATCAGCAGGAAATCGATAGGCAACAGCTACACTAACATTCTCACTTTGGAGCAGCCACATTAGCAGCTGACATTGGCAGTAGACAAGCTGCATGAACATGAGCTTCGATGCAAGCCCTATAAGCAACCAGCAACCTGCTCCATCACCCTCAAAAATATAAGTAGTTTTGTTGTTGTTGTTGCTGCTGCCATTTTCAGAGGGAAAGGAACAAGGGGGGCCTGAGTCAATTGGCCACAGTGTTACAAAACATTTCTGTTTTTCTGGCAATGTTACATTAATGACATCCTGTAGTTTCAGTGGTGCAAACATTTCACTGACTAGAGAAGGACATTAGCAAAGAGCCTAGTTGGGTAATCAGAAATGTTTATGGCACTGAAGTCTTTGAAACTCTACCTAAAACGCACACAGATGTTTCCAGCTGGGTAACACACACTGGAAGCACACAGAAAACTTACTTTTCTCATCTTTAAAACACAGTTCTCTTTGCTAAGCTACATTGTGGATCTACTAAATAGCCTAAGGCCATTGAAATTATCAGCTATAATCCATCTCTCTCATGTCACCTCTGAATGGAGCCATTCAGGTTTCCAAATGCACAAGTTTGTTTGGTGGCAAGATTATCACTATATTTTTTGTTTTCCATGTTTCTACTGTGAGAAGATAAGAATGGAGCTGAAGAAGAAAGCCAAAGCACTTGGACTAAACTTTTTTTTCAGATAGCTGAAAGGAAGCTTGCTGAAAGTGTTTCAGAGGGGAAACTTTAGTGGGGCCAGAGTGAGGCAACTGCTATGCTGTGACAATTTAGTTCTTCATCATCCAAAATATCTGCCTTCTTTTTCTTTTTTCCAATGATTTTTTTAAAGTTAGAATGAATTAAATTATTATTTAACTATTATACCTCAACTGTGATTTATTAGAACAGGCAAAGGCATAATCTCGGGGACTGTGACAACTGTTCCTTGAGAAGCTGTAGTTAGAGATCCACATTTTCAGTGCAGGCAAAAGCTTTACTCCCTCCTTTCCCACACAGATGCTTCTGAGGGCTGAATCATGTTATCCCTGATGCTTCTCCCACATTTTAAGCTAACCTGGAGATCCTTCAGTCTCAGAATAAAACACGTTTTCCAGATCTCTCAGTCATTTTTGGTCCCCTTTCAATATTCTTCCTTGATCTCCAACTCCAGCAGCAGACACAGGATACCAAAACAGGTACAAAAGCAACATTAAGACACAACCACCCTCAGCTGTTCTCTAGTACCTAAATCCAAGGATCATTTTAGCCTTTCTGTCACACTGGACGTTCATATTTGATAAATTATCTGTGCTGATGCCAAGTCATTGCTCTGGTAGATTAAGATCTTTTGCCAGAGAAGTCCACTTTGTTTGCCCTTAGATATATGTCATTATGAAATCTGCACTGAATCAGAGGAGGTCTGTGTGGTATATCCAGATCTCTGGAATCATTATATACCAGCTAACTGTCATCCTCTTTAATTCCCTTTCCTTTAACCACTGTGTCCTCTACAAACACTAGTTGTCATTCATGCTACTGCGAAAAGACACTCAAGAGGTAGAATGACAAGAAGGAACACAAATTTTTCAAGTGCCTGCTAGGAACACACCTGCTTGGGGCTGACTCCTCATGAACAACTGCATTTTGAGATGTCAGCCAACATTGAAATAGCTCAATGTGTGCCCTATTGCCTTTGTATAGCTTTGTATAGCAAAATGTTATGTGGCACTAAGTCACATTTTCTGAACTTTAATTTGCCTTAGAAATCATTAATTGGATACACAACAGTGGGTGGTTATCTTGCTCTCAAGGGGAAGCAGCGAGTCCTCAGCTGACTAGCTGTCAAAAATAGGCAGTGAGAATTCAAGCAGTAAATGATACAACTTACACAGAAAGACTGGCAGGGCAAGAAGGGAGGACATGGCATTGTACATTAGAAACAGGCGATGAAAACGCAGCAAAGTTTAAAACAAATACAGTGAATATGGCCTTTCGTCTTTCCCCTTCCAATCCTTAGATACAGGCCTGTTGTTTTAGTAAGTGGTGAGGGAATTGAGCTAGGCCAACAAAATGGCGCACACATGAGAAACCCAGAGGAAATGGCTGCACCCCCTATGAAACCCTGGAAGACACAGAAGCAGAGGGAAAG